CGGACTCCCTGGACCCCCCCTGTACACGCCCCTTCTCGGGCGCGAAGCGACCAGGCGAGGGAGCCAAGCGATTGAGCGGGGGGAGGGTGTTGGAGGGGGGTGTTCACTGTTCACCCTCCTGCACGATGGAGATTTTGCAATTATTAATATATTACACTAAAATAGAGCGACCTGAGGTGAAATTCTTGCAAATTTTCCAACATTTTTTTTTTTGCTTGGGGGGGTTCGTTCGAACCCCCCGAACCCCCCCTGGCTACGGGCCTGCTATACCCAGCATAGATGAAGTTGTCGCTATACACTTCCAGCAGCAAAAAATACACACTAGCGATTGCCTTATGTCGTAGTTTCGTACTACGGATACGCAATTAGATAAGGAACTCGTAGAGTATGTGACAAGGACGTTTATTCAGCAGAACCACACGTGCTTCACTTCCCCGACCAGTGCTGCCATCTATCGTGACATATAACAGAACTATGACACCTTCCAACAGCTAATTTCCAACCTCACCCTCATCGTCACCTCATTTTCACTCCAACTCACCACTACCTTCATCTGTCATCATTTCGTCAACATTCACTACTTTCGCCCCATTATTTAGTTGTTGTTTTTTAACTTATTATTGTTATTATTATTATTAAATCTTTATTGCATGTAATTCAAACACAAATACATGCACTGAAGACAGTCTTATTAATGGAGCAAAAATCTGATAGATGCAATAGTGTTGAGCAGTTAAAATAATAAAATTTCTGAGTAATACAGTACGACTGTGATGCCTGCAGAAAGTAGTTTTACTTACCAGGGTTGTTTTGAGGAGTAATGCTAGGAGAAGCATCGTTCGCCTGGCCCTCTTCCTGCACCGTGGAATTTATCTGCGCCGACCCACCACTAGAGCATCCGGCACCACATCGCTGGCGCAACCTGGTTGTTACAATAACCATGTTAGTTCTGCTGATAATATCATGTAGTCATCCAATTCTAATGGCTACTCCACGAATATTTTCGTGGTACAAACCACATCAACTCTGGTAGTCATAAAAATTCTCACTGTAGAATCGGGGGTTATATAGTGTACTCCACGGTTTAGTATAAAATGTATTCCAAGCGCACTGCCGGTTACAGTACAGGGTTGGGAGGAAATTCAGTATGATCAAGAGTGTTTATAGAGATCTCCGTATTATGCACTACTTGTATGATGGCATCAGATAACCCTGATCACACTATAATACCCTGCATTACAAAAGTAATGTGTTCCTGAAACAACATGCAAAATGCAAAATTCTGTAACGGGAATTACATTTCTCCATTGACATCCATTAGATATTTAGACACGCATTCCCACAGAAAATTTCTGTAACCCAAGTTTCTGCAACGCTGGGTATAATGTTACATTGTTATACCAACACGCGACACAACACATACCTAACACCGGATTCAATGTGTTAGCTACACATAACACCCTGGCATACAACAGCCCGCCCATACGAGTGGTGGGCTTACCTTCGGAAGAACGTGATCAGGAAGTGCTTGATCTTGTTTAGACTGATCGAGCCGCCCACGATCTGCATCAGCTGCTCGTTGCTGTCCGCGTACGACGTCGTCAGCGGCGACACGTAGATCGGGTAGCCAATCGGCTGGTCGCACGATGAGTTGATCATGTTACGCAGCGCCTGCTTCGCGTTCTGGATGCTGCCACGCTCCGGGTTGCGATTACGCAGGAAGACCAGCTCCTGCTGCTGACCAGCCCACAGCCCTCGAACACACTCACGGTTCACCTATAAAGTGATTACGTCACCGTATAGTAAAATAGTAAATAAAATATAAATAATAAATACCAATAGTAAAAAAAAATTATGGCCACTTTTCCACAAAATGTAAGTGATTCTGTTCACTTTTTATGGTTAAATTGCTGCATCATACTTCCTATTTTGCTATTCCGTTTGATGTGAACAAACACTCCCCATAGCAAGCATTTAATTTCGTGATCGATATATCAAATCGCCCAGATTTTTAGGATTTTTAACTAGTTGAAAAACAATCTTATCATGTAAGAATTTCAAGATATATTTAGTGCCGTTAGTACTTGCTTAACATGTAACAAAAATTGCAACAAACATTTTACAAATATACACCATAGAAAATTCATGATGCAGTCAATATAACACGCGTGCTAAACTGATGGAAACGAATACAAAATCTGAAGAAGAATCTATAATGCTATTACTGGCGAACCACCTTAGCAAGTATCTGTTTACAAGGATTTGTATCAAGAGTGCATAATAGAGAAGAGTATGACACGGTTTTAACAGCGTTTTGCATAGTTTTCAACTTGTAAATATTCTATCAATATGTGAATAAATATATTCAAACTTTACCTTGTTTTCGTCTATGATTCTCACTTAAACATATGACACCACCAATTTACCTGAAAATCGTATGTGTTCTTCAAAAAAGTTATTTGAATACGACACGGTTTCGTACAGTTTTCACGCATGGATGCATGTTTCAGACCAAACTTTGTTATGGGATTAGTGTTCTATTGTCTATGACGGTACGCTGGGGGCCGTAAGGGAATCAGCTGCTAGCTAGCTGGCCGTGAGCACATTTATTTTTAGCACGCTGGAAACGCTGCACGCTGAATACAATTCGATGCCTAATATCCCATACGGCCCCCAAAGTTCCGTCATAGACAATAGAACACTAATCCCATAACAAAGTTTGGTCTGAAACATGCATCCATGCGTGAAAACTGTACGAAACCGTGTCGTATTCAAATAACTTTTTTGAAGAACACATACGATTTTCAGGTAAATTGGTGGTGTCATATGATTAAGGGAGAATCATAGACGAAAACAAGGTAAAGTTTGAATATATTTATTCACATATTGATAGAATATTTACAAGTTGAAAACTATGCAAAACGCTGTTAAAACCGTGTCATACTCTTCTCTATTATGCACTCTTGATTTGTATCATACCTTGATTACTCTGAAGTTGAGGTATCGTTTGTTCAGCATAATGATCTTGTACTCATCGGAACCATCATCAAACACATGCCTGAAAATGTCGCTCGAGTTATTATTATTGTCAAATGCTAATTTATCCTTAGACATTTAGTTTTCTTCATATATAATTATTCTGATTCAGCAGTTCAACTACCATGACAACTAATACCTATAGTGACTGAGAGCCTCTACAGTAAGCACACCAATATTTTCAATAGGCGGTTACCAGCAATATATTAATATATATTAATTATCATTAATTATTAATTAATTCGTATTATAGTGACCTGAGAGCGAGTAGCGAGGGTGTGTTTGACAGCACTGCATTTCTCCATGCCGGGTCACCTTCATGGGATATGACCAGGTTTTGCTCGTGCTTCGAGATAGCATCATACAGCACCTGGGGATCGTCATACTCATCCGGTGACGTGAAATGATCCTGCAATTTCATCCCCATCATGAATATATATTTTACTGAGTATCTATAAATTATTTCGTACATTTATGAATTATTTCTTGAATAATACATGACTACAATTCAGTAACAAAAATGAAATGTTGGCAGTCGTAGGAACATCGTACACTTAATTACTGCTAACATAGCATTGATACAAAATATACATACCATTTGTATGGTTATTGACTAGTAGAAATCTTTATTTAAAATGTGAATGTGTTTTTTTCTTAGTTAAAAATAAATAAAATTGCAGAGCATGGTACCTGATGTAGCTTCAGTGACATGCGCACACCTGGCGCCACCACACGCCGCAACAGCTCCATGTCAGCAAACACCCACTCATCGCGCGGCGAAGTGATACGGAAGTCTCCCTTGAACAGTGCGTGCAGGCCATACAAAAAGTAGTCCACGCTGAGGAAGGCAAATAGATGTTTGAGGTTACAAGCCCACACACATACCCGTGCGTATACACACATTATAATTGAGGTGCTCACTGTTAAAAATGCTTTTGAAGGTACTAGGCCTACATCAAGCTTCCCGAACAATAAAATACATAGAAGGCACTGGAAAATACCCACGACACCCAGCTAATAAAGTTGGGCATTCTGTTAAAGTTGGCATAAAGTTAGCAAGCTAATAATAATGGGCATTCTGCACATGTAGCTAATGTATCTAGCCAAGACAGTGGTTCCACTTTTTATTTATCGGGCTTCTGATAAATGAGCGCATCGCTTAAACGACACGTCTTTCATAAACAAATCCTTACACACGTAAATTTGTTAAATGATGAAGTGTACAGGACCTTATTAAAACGGGATATTTTCTGCAGTACAAACTTCCTTCTTTCTTAAGTGAACGTTGTCAAACAATCATTAACATAAAAGCAAACTGACAACTCTCAGCTTTTCAACAGATTCTGAAAATATTCAGCACAAAACATAAAGCTAAAATTGTGTACAAAAACCTTTGTGTACTGTAAATTTTGTGCTGTGTAGTGTGTACAGATGATTATGTAAGGTACACAAAGGCATGCATGTGCGAATGGAAATGTGTTCACCAATTAATCAGGACAACTGTTTAATCAGACTATTTTCACCGTTCTTAACCTGTCCTAATAAAGTTGGAACCACGGTATAATGCACAGTGCACACACTGTGAAACCTAACCAAGTACATATAAGTACAGATAGCTGATCGCTCACATAGAGTCATATGCGAACAACACGTGTGCCTAGCCACAGAGGGTACTCTGTGAATACCTACGATATATATCTAATATTGTACATAGAGAATTCCATCAATTACCTACACTACCTAGCTAAAAACACATGGGGAGCATGGAGAGGTTGGAGACAAGGCACATACCTGGAGGGTGTGTTGTGTGAGGCATCACCAAGTGCGTAGATATATATCTAATATTGTACATAGAGGATGCCAGCAATACCTACACTACCTAGCTAAAAACACACGGGGAGCACGGAGAGGTAGAGACATACCTGGAGGGCGTGTTGTGTGAGGCAGCACCGAGCGCGCGCCGTCCCAGCAGGCAGAGCGCAAAGCAGAGCAGCACGAGCGGCGAGTCACGCGAGCTGTCGATCGGCTGCTGCCGCCGGCCCGCGCAGTGCTGCATCCACGGCAGGTAGACGTTGCAGAAGCTCGAGATCGTGATTCCGGCCTGGTGGTAGTCGTAGTCCTCGTCGATGTTCATGTTGAAGACCGGGTCTACGTCGACGAACGACTTGTCATATGTGCGCTGGATGGCAGTGATCACAGCTTCGCTGGCAAGCCACTCCTCCAGCTTGGGCGAGCGCACCGTGTAATACACGATGCTCTGTGACAGTGAGACGAAGAATGAAAACTACCGCGGGTGGCGGTTAGAACCTTGTTATAACTCCTTCGTTTGACACACTAGATAAAACGAATGATAACTATCTCACACGGCTACTAAAATGAGTCATATTTTCACATGCACGCCCACGCACACGGACACTCATGCATGCACGCGCGAGTGCGCACGCATGCACGCACACGCACATACAAATACTATGTAGGATCACTTCACATAAACAAGGTGGCTAACCTCTTCCTGCACACCTAAGCCTCATTCACATAACTCCCTTACGCTGCACACATATATTCAGCTCTGCCTTAACACCTACCTTCACATAGTATGTGATGAGCACCTTACGCAGGTCAAATACTTGCAGCATGGACGCTGCACTGTTGTCACTAATGCTGTACCCTTCCAGAACATACTTAGTAGCTGTTACCTAAACAATAAATACTTAAATTTTAGATACATGGCCCAAGAGGGCTTATTTTAAGAGTGAAGTTGGAATATAGCCTAAATCATCTGTTTCATGAAAACTGTTTGTCATGTGTGAAATTGATCAAACTGGATATACTTTATATCTTCTCAAATAGCTGGAAATGAGTTTGGTTGGGTATTTCACATATAAAGAGAAGTGCCTGAATAGTAGGCCTATGTAAGCAATCATGTTCCAGGAACTTAGAATGTGAACTTAGGTACCAGTAAGAGTACCTTAGGTAACCTTAGGTACCAGAAAAACACAATAGTTTTTGTTAATTGCATAAGCATTAGTGTGAACATGTGATTTTTAACAAATTGTACAATTTTGCATTGAATAAACTGTGAACATTAATGTGCAGCTCGTTTTAACATAAAACTGCTGTTAATGAAAATCTTAAATTCACTCAGCTGCATCTGAAATATCAATATTTCACCATGCTGCCACTGTTCTACTTTCTCAGGACTGTTCAGATTTAGTAAGGAAATTTTACGAACATAGCAAATGTGTTTTAGAAATCGTGTTATTTGTAGAGAATTTTACCATCAGTATATCTAAACCTATTGTTATAAGGTTGTGGCATTTCAGTGAATGGTAGAATGTAATCTTAGGTGTGTCATAATGCATGTCAATAAACATTCCTCGTTTTCAAGCACTCTCTGTCCCTGTTGCCTTGTGCATGTGTTACTGTAACACAGTGATGAGAAAGTCAGCTTACCTCCCAGGCAAGCCAGCGCTGGTTGAAAGCTGCATTGATGGAGAGACAATGTGGGAAGTGGCCGGGCTCACAGCAGCAGAAGCCATCGTCCTCATCCACACCTTCTGTGATGGCTTCAACCTCTCTCTGTTGACAGTAGGTACCTGCATACATAATACACGTTTAGCGATATTGACACAAACAACAGTGGTAACTGACAGATGGTTGGCTGGAAGCGACCTGACGTGAATGTACTTGAGCAGCAGGCAGAAGTTAAACCTCATAACTGCAGCTGACCGACAAAGATTATTGGTACTTAACAAAGAAGACGGTATTGCTGTAATGGTCGTTATTATAACATGTAACTTGAATCCATGGTCAGAGTGCTATGTGGGTCTCACCACATCAGACTATCTGCCTCAGTTAACATAGTGCACTAAAGATTTCAGTTCCTTTAGAATGATCTGAGGTCTGACTCCTGCAAACCAGTTCACTGCCTTCACCATCTAACAGACTGTCATAAAGCACCGAATTCTTTAATACTGGGCACAGGTTGATAATCAGTCACCAGTTCACATCCTTGCTTTTCTAACACAATGCATGGAAGATCTTACGTCTATCAAGGTGGTCACATGACCGTCATGCAGTTAGCCTTATTGACTATCTACCCGTTACATCATGTATTATGTTTCGTTTTTGTTTCTAGGCATGCCGGCCTCTCTGGAATCTAGATAAATGCACCGCGCCTATATGCTCACCCCTGAACTCCAGTCCACGCATCTGGAAGGTGACCAACCCATTTCCCATCTCTATGATGTGCACAAGACAGTTCAGGTAGTCAGACGCAAGAATGAAGCAGTCTCCGGAACTGCAGTTGCCCCAGCGGCCCAACGAGAGATCACCACACAGACTGTGCTGCAGTGAGCGCGTCAAGTGCTCGTAGAATATCGAGTTTAGGTTATTATCATCTGCTCCTGCAAATGAGAGATTAGCTCGTATCAAATAAGCAGGCAGGGCGGATCAATTACACTGAATATACAAGAATTAATTGGCATTGGTTACAGTTTTTTTTTTATTGCTAAAAAGTAGACACAATATAATATTATTGATCATTAATATGATTGATCATAGTAATCATAGCTATACTATAGATATAATACATGGTATGTATAGACTTCTAACATAATCTTAATAACTTTTACGGTTAAATACACTTTTATTAACTCTCATATCAACTACAACCAGCCCAATTTACAGGATTTCTCCGTGATTTCTCATAAATCCAACGAACCTACCTGGATTGCGTAAATTTGTCTCGAGGTGTGAAGACAACCTGGTATTTGTGTGATCTACCCGCTTTGTGTTGTAGTCGCGCTCCCAGAACTTGACCGGGCGAACGTAGGACGTCAGGAAGATGGCGCTACCGAGGAACGGACTCAGCGGCGTGGAGAAGATTGAAGAGATGAACGCTTGCACGAACAACATTGCTGAGTCTGAACCAATGCTGTTCAGGAACCACTACACCTTATTTTTTCCTATTCCTAGCCCTTCTGGTTTCAAGAATATTACTATTATAATTTTACCATGTATAATTACTATTATAATATCAGGAGTCTATCAATAGAGATCAGATCTATTGATAGACTCCTGATAATATAATAATAAAAATAATATAACTATTAATTTAAATTTACTATAATGATTCCTTCAATTGACTGAAATGTTACGGGTATATTACAATTGTGAATTTAAAAGCTGTAAAGACTTGTGCCTTTACAACTGGTTGTAAGAGTGCTATTTCATGAACTTCTACACTAGACTTAACTCATCAAATAGACTTCCTTCTAAGCAAGGATAGGCATATGTAGCATGAAGCCACCTAATACGAATATGTTAATGCCAAGGCCAGCAGAAGCAGCAACATAGCGGCTGCCTTTGTTACGTGCAGTACTGGTACTGATGGGAACACGTAAGGATACGAGGTACGCTGAATGGCTGAGCGAATGCGTGGAAGGCAGAACCCCAGGTAATCTGCCATGGCGCAATGTATGTGATCACAAACTTCATCTTCAATAGGTAGTCATTGATCTGCATACAAACAACCAGAGACTATTACAATTACTATTATAAAATTGATTAGCAAAAGAGAATTCGTAAAAATTATAACACACATATCAACTCTATTGACAGCACTTGAACTATCTGTGCTCTGCAAACCATAACAGGTGCTTATAATTTATAGAGGCAGCAAGCAGACGCTACATGTACATTACGCTGCATGTAAATTACGCTACATGTACATTGTGCTACATGTACATTACACTGCATGTAAATTACGCTACATGTACATTGTGCTACATGTACATTACGCTACACGTACATTATGCTACATGTACATTACGCTACATGTACATTGTGCTGCATGTACATTACGTTACCTTGCTGATGATGATGGACATGAAGAAGAGATCGATGAGAAGAGTCTCGGAGGCTGACTTGAAGTCGTAGGTGAAGAAGAAGACAGTGAAGGCGATGACGACATACTGCTTGCCAGCGTCGCAGAATGCACTGCGCATCAGCTTCATACTGCACACGACGATCACTGCAGAACCTCCCCTGCAATATGTTCATTCATCGTTGTTCACAGCATCAAGGTACTTCTATGTTATAATGTGTGCAACTATTATTATTATTATTATTATTAAATCTTTATTGCATGTAATTCAAATACAAATACATGTACTGAATGTATTTACGAAAACCATTGTTGTTCTTATCACTAGCTACTACTATATCACGTGTTCAACTACAATTGTTCAAATACTTACACAACATTAAATTTATCTACAATATCTTCAGCTGAGATGGTTAAGGCACTGAGGAAGACTACTGGTAATAAGATGAACTTTTCAGCAAACTGTAACCACACGTAGAGCTTCTCAAACCACATCACCTTGGCCGCTTCTGAAAAATTCAGGAAAACTATTATAAAAATGATATCTTTGGTTTATTGAAAGAGTGACCAGACTTTTTAATGAAAGTGTCAATGACACTATAGCTCACCTTGGGTGTGATAGAAGAGGGAGATAATATTTAAAATTTGGTAAGTGTTTCATTTATGACAGACTGAAATGTGATCAAATGTCCTTATTCCCTGTTTTATACTAATAGAAATTTTACTGTTTTGTTTCAGTTTTAGTTTTGATGCGAAAATAAATGTTTCAGATCTGAAAGTCTGAAATCTGGGCGAGAGATGGCGCTATGCCTAAATGATTGCCATTTTGGTTTTCAATTATCGCGCAAATAAAAGTAATAAAATATTCCAGTCAAATTACTGTAACGAAGAATATAAAACACAATAATACATGCAGATATGATTAGGTAGGTAGGTGGTATGTAGGTAGGTAAATTTAACAAAATCGAATGAATCTAGATAGCCATTCCCATTTTTGCCAAAAAGTGGGCGTGGCTCGAAAGTAGGTCGACTGGCGTGCTCCAAAATAGGACGTTCAAA